GATTAAGGGCTGGGACTGGCTCTGGGGGTGGGTTTTTGGCAGACTGTTAGCCTGTGTCTACACTGGTGCGATCTTGCGCCAAAGCAGCCGCTCTTGCGCAAAAACTTGCTGCCTGTCTACACTGGCCGCGTGTTCTTGCACAAATAAACTGACGTTCTGCTGTATTAAATCAGGGCTGTTTGCGCAAGACCTATGATGCTCCCACTCAGGAATAAGCCCTTTTGCTCAACTGTTCTTGAGACCAGTGTAAACAGGCAACGTGAATTTCTTGCGCAAGAAAGCCCAATGGTTAAAATGGCCATCAGAGCTTTCCTGCGCAAGAGAGCGTCAACACTGGCACAGATGCTCTTGTGCAAAAGCACATGCCAGTGTCGACGCTCTCTTGCACCACTACTGCAATGCAAGAACTCTTGCGCTAAAAGAGTTTTTGCGCAAGATCATGCCAATGTTTTATTTCCATGTGCATCATTTGCATGATGAATATGCAAATAAAATGATGCTGGCTCGCCAAAAGTTCGTGAATGGGTTTGCTGGTCCCCAGTATTAAAAAGTTTGGGAACCACTGAGTTATATCATGAAAGACTCATACACTTGTACGTCTCCTAATGTGACACATGCCATCATGTGCCAACAATGCCCCTCTGCCATGTAGAGAGGACACACTGGACTGTTTCTATGCCAAAAAAAGGACACACATCCGATATTAATTAAGAAAGGCAACATCCAAAAACCAGCGGGAGAACCCTTCACAGGGCAAAACCCTCTTCCAAACCAGACTGCAAGGAGAAGCTGCCGAGCTGGAATTCATGTGCAAATCTGACACCCTGTAACAAACTTTAAATAGATCCAGGGAGTGGTTCTCCCATTACGACAGGTCTTTTCCCATGCAGGGGCTCCCACCTTCTCACCACTACTGGAGATGAGCCACATCTGCTGACGCGCACTCCCCTCTCTGTATCCCTGCCTCTTCTGTTGTCTTCCTTTTCTCTTCAGCCTCTGAGGAAGTGAGTGTGTCTCAGGAAAGCTGTTGCTCTAGTAAATCTGTTAGTCTTTCAAGTGCCACCTGACTCGTTATTGGTGTAGCCGAAACAATCGACCCCGGTGACCCTTCTGAAAGATGCGCTAGTGAGGCCACCTAGTGGTCGTTGGGCATATCATGAGCGAGCCTGTGTGGTCGGTTTGGCTCCTAGGGCTGCATTTCAGATCTCCTCCAGGAGTGGCGTTTCCCAGTCTTGCCCTCTGACTAACTTTGGAGTTCTGTGTCCGGCTTCTGGTCTCATTCGCACCCCAGTGACTCCGGAGTATCTCCGTGGAAATGGGGGGAGTAACCCCGTTGTAAAGCTGAGGGGGATCTCTTCTCGGTGCCTCCACGTTTGCATTTCCTGATATAGAGCCGATACGCTCTGGCTTCCCGCCCGGGTGACATCGGAGAACCGTTAACAGGACTCCGGCCTGTTAAGTTGACATCCTCCTAGGGCAGGGACAAACGGGTGGGAAATGAAGCACAGAGGGAAACCCTCGCTAATCCGCCTTCTCCCACAGGATGGCAGTAAAGCACCACCTCTGTAAAGCGAGACAAAAGACGATTTGGGGGTGAGGGGGCGCAAGCCAGCCAGCTCCAGTCTGGCTCGGGCTTAGCCCCGCGTGTCCTGGGCTCCCACAGCCAG